ACTAAGGTGTAAAGATAGTTTCTCATCAATACAACACTCAAGCTCGAGCTAGAAAGATGGAACGGGATAATACAAGTCACTTCGAAAAGATAAAAAAAGCCCAATAAGCATTAGAAGAAAAGTTTAGCAAAATTCTAGAGGCCCTAAAAAAGATAAATAGGAGAAAATCAGTGAAAGAAGATATTTCACATGAAGCTATTAATTCGGCATATCCTTCAGGTTTTGGCCCACCATAAAATCAAACTGCACCATTCTTCCAACCTCAACAAGCAGCTCTTTCGAAATACCAGGTCATGAGAGTGTCCAAAGCTATGAAAATCCTATCTTTGCTAAGAAAGTAGCTAAGCCCATTCAATTCCCCACTGCAGATGAGATAAAGGAAAAGGAAAAACCATAGGTAGTTATGCCCTTATGGGATTCTAAAACTGATCAAGCTATGAATAAACTTGAAGAAAAACTAAGGCCTGTAGAAGGAATAGACTTCTATGGGTCCATGGATATGATAGGACTTTGCCTAGTACCAGATGTAGTGATGCCATCAAAATTTAAAATACCAGAGTTCAAGAAGTACGATGGTACCAAATGTTTTATCACATATATCATAATATACCATTGTAAAATGATGGCACATACCAGTAATGAAAAACTACATATGCACATATTTTAAAATAATTTGATTGGATCTACGGCTAGATAGTATGTCCAATTAGATGAAACTCACATCAAGACATGGAAAGATTTGACCAAATTTTTTATCAACCAGTATCATCACATCATTGACATGGCTCCCAACCATCTTTCCCTACAAGCCATGAAAAAAAAAGCCTCTGAATTCTTCAGGCAATATGCTCAAATATGGCGGGATATGGCTATCCAGATACAACCCCCTTTAACAAAAAAAAACCACAGTGCTATTTGTGAGCACTCTAAAGTCACCATACTATGAGAGGATTATTGGGAATGCAACTAAAAATTTTACAAATATGATGATTTCGAGAGAGATCATTGAAAATGCCATTAAAAATGGCAAGCTTGAAGAAGATGAGTCTTCCAAAAAGGCACCCAAGAAGAAAAAAAGTGAGACTCAGGCTATGAGTCTTGAGGGGTAACAATTTAAAAGTTACTTTCGACCTACATACCCCATATACCATCACATAATAAGCCATACTTCTGTATCTCTATACTAGTCAACTACTCGACCATCTTATTCATTTTTTTCAAGATCCCCTACTCACTCAGCCAGCATCATAAGTAATACCAGATAACTATGAGCCAGAGAAAGACAAACCTTTGACCCCATACCTATAAACTACACAGAGTTATATCAAAAGCTCTATAACAGCCAATTAAGAGCCCATGTCCTAGCAAAATAGTTTGAACCTCTTTACCCTAAATGGTATGATCCCAATGCCTATTACGATTACCATTTCAGAGTAGCAAGACATTCTACTAAAAATTGCATTCCTTTCAAACATAGGGTATAAAGCCTAATTAAGAAAGGGTTGATAAGCTTTGATATATTAGTGGAAGTTCTACACCTAATGTCAGTAGGAATCCTTTGTCCTGCCATACAATCAATGCTTTGGACACAAGTGAAAAACATGTGAAGAAGAGGGTAAATGAGCTTAAGATGCCATTTGACCAGTTATATGAAGCTTTATAGAAGGTTGGAATTATAAAACTAGTGGCTCAATGTACTCATATGGGGAAACACATCTCAAATCAAAGGTGTAAATATCATAATGAAGTGTCTGGTTATTCAATCAACGTCTGTAAACAATTCAATAGTGAAGTTTAAAAATTGATGGACTCTTACCAAATAGAGCGGTATGAAGAGTCAAAAGTTTTAAAAGACACCGAGGTGGCTATGATAGATAGATGGGTGCCAAAACCTATCACTATACATTATAAAGAGAAATCACCATCAGTTGGGAATAAGTTTGTTCCCAAACTAATAGCTCTCAAGATTTTATGCCCATTTCTTTATAAAGATAACAAGGCAGTGCCTTAGAATTATGAATATGGGATAACGATTTAAGGACAGTAAAATGATATGCCAAAAGTTGAAACTACCCATATAATAAAAGTAGGGGGCATAACTTGAAGTGAAAGATGTTACACTCCAAAAACTTTCAATAAGTCAAAAAAAAAAAGGAAAGAGAAACAAGCTGAACCAAAAATCCCAGAAAAAAATACATCAAAACTTGTGCTTGAAAAAGAGGCTTATGAGTTTCTAAAACTAGTCAAACACAGTGAGTACTCTATGGTAGAGCAATTGAACAAGATGCCAGTCAAAATTTCTCTATTATCACTTTTTTTAAACTCTGAATCACATTGTAATGCCTTATTAAAAGTATTAAATCAGGCATCTATGGCCCATAATATTTTCGTGGAGTATGTGAATCATCTGGCAGACAATCTAATAATGCCACATCATATCTTCTTTAGTGATGATGAGATCCCACCAGAAGGTAAATGAAGCACTAAGGCATTGCACATCACTATCAAATGCAAGGGCCATATAGTAGCTAAGGTCTTTATGGACAATGGCTCAACCATTAATATTATACCCATGTCTACTCTTGTAAAGTTACCATTTGATATGTCTCATGTCCAAAATAGTCAAATGGTAGTCCAAGCATTTGATGAGACTATACGAAAAGTATTGAAAGATGTTAAGCTACCCATACAGATTGGTCTATGTATTTTCAGTATAAAATTTTAAGTTATGGTTATCTTTCCATCATACAACTACTTATTAGGGAGACACTAGATCCACAAAGCAAGCACTATTCTCTTTTTATTGCATCAAAAAATCAAATTTAATGTAAAAGGGCAATTGGTGATTGCGGTCATAGAGGAATATTTCCTGGTAACCCAACCCATAAATGCCTCATATGTAGAAGCAGCAGAAAAATCAGTAGAATGCTCATATAGATCTTTTGAACTAGTCAATGTAGTGGGTGAAGGGCTTAAATTTAGTCGAATTATGATTAATCAGATAATCAACAAGGGTTGGAGTATTGGGTTCAGTCTGGGTAAGAACCTTCAAAGGATGAAAGAATTCCCAAAGCTTGAAAACAATAATGGTAGAGTAAGATTAGGTTATGAGATAGGGGAAGTACTAAGCCCTAGTATGACGGTAAAAAATGAGTCAATGATTGTTTCCCATTTAAATAAGGCTTTTACTCCTTGAAGATACATGCTTTCAAAAGCTGAAAAGGACACAAAAAAAGAATCAAAGTAAGAGGAATCTTTCACCAAGTTATCCATTCACATGGTGGATAATGGAAGCCAAAATAAGGAAGCCATGGTTTACCCTTGCCTGTCGGGGTATGAATTACAAAATTGGAGGGTCATCCGAATGCCTATTGTTTCTAATTTTCCTTTAATGTAATCACATCTCATAATCGCTTATGCCCAAAAACATTAGGATGAAATCTCATGTTTGGGCCTTTTATTTTTCATTATTTCAATAAAAGTAGGAGTATGCATTTCATTCATTTCTTCTATTCCATTCATTTCACCATCAAAATTTCTTGCCAATATTTCTTATTCTATTAACTTTCAGGTCTCCAAATGAATGCAAAGATAATCATGACAATGATCTAGGGTTTAACTTTGAAAATTCAATTAATACCGATGAACTCGATATTGAAGAAGATTATGAGGAATATACTTTGTCTCCAAATTTGATTAGGCTAATTGAACAAGAAGATAAATCCATTGAGTTTCATCAAGAAGTGGTCGAATTGATCAATTTGGGTGATCCCAAAAATAAGAAAGAAGTCTAGATTGGCACTTCACTTTCAGTTGTTAACCGACAATAGTTAGAGGATTTGCTCTGGGAATCTATGGATGTCTTTGCTTAGTCCAATCAAGATATGCTCGGACTCTGCACTGAAATAGTAGAACATAAGTTACCATTGAAGCCAGAATGCAAACTGGTGTGACAAAAGTTAAGAAGAATGAAACTAGAAATGCTGTTGAAAATTAAAGAGGAAGTTAAAGAGTAATTTAATGTAAGCTTCTTGCAAGTGGCTAAATATCCTGAATGGGTAGCTAATATAGTGCCTATCCCTAAAAAGGATGGCAAGGTATGGATGTGTGTAGACCATAAAGATTTGAACAAAGCTAGCCCTAAGGATAATTTTTCTTTGCTTCACATTGATACCTTGGTGAATAATACAGCTCGATACTCAGTATTCTCTTTTATGGATGAATTCTTTAGCTATAATCAAATAAAAATGACCTCAGATAACATGGAAAAGACCATTTTTATCACCATGTAGAGAACTTTTTGCTACAAAATTATGCCTTTTGGATTAAAAAATGCTTTGGTAACTTATCAAAGGGTTGTGGTAACACTCTTCTGTGATATGATGCATAAAGAGATCAAGGTATATGTGGATGATATAATTACCAACCCCAAAAAGAGAAGGATCATGTCGTCAACCTCAGAAAGTTATTCAAAAGGTTAAGAAAGTTCCAACTCAAGCTGAATCTAGCTAAATGTATATTCAGAGCCAGGTCAAAAAAGTTATTGGGATTTATAGTCAGGGAAAGAGGGATAGAAGTAGATCCAGATAAAATCTAGGCCATTCAGAATCTATCTCCACCAAGTACACAAAAAAAAAGTTCATGATTTCTTGGGCAGATTGAATTATATTTTTCAATTCATTTATCAACTCACTCATAAATACGATCCCATTGTCAAACTCCTTCGGAAGAATAATTCCAGGGAGTGGAATGAACAATGTCAAGAAGCTTTCGATAAGATCAAGCAATACTTATCAAACCCTCTAATATTAGCACCCTTCATCCCAACAAAACCATTAATTTTATACTTAGTGGTATAAGAAGGCTCAATAGGATGTGTGTTGGGCTAATAAGATGAATCCAATAAGAAAGAAAAAGCTATTTATTATTTGAGCAAGAAATTCATAGAGTATGAGTCCAAGTATTCATCACTAGAGAAAATGTGTTGTGCTTTAGCTTAGATGGCTAAAAAGCTTAAACAATACATGTTGTATCATAGCATTTTGCTCATAGCTAAATTAGATCCTATCAACATATCTTTGAAAAGCCTTCACTATCAAAAAAAAATCACAAGATGGAAAGTGTTGCTTTTTGAATATAACATAGCATATATAAGTCAAAAAGTAATCAAAAAAAGTGTCATTGCAAAATTCCTAGCAAATAGGGCCGTTGAAGATTATGAGCCCATGAAGTTTGATTTCCCAAATGAGGAATTAATGGCCATTTTAGAATCAAAAAAAGATGATGATGATGATGAAGAAACATGGTGGATGTATTTCAATAGGGTTGCTAATGCCATGAAGCATAGGATTGAAGTAGTTTTGATATCTCTAACGGAGCACTACTATCCTATTACAGCAAGATTAAATTTCAACACCAATAATGTCGCTACGTATGAAACTTGTATCATGGGGTTGCATGCAATTTTAGACAGGAAAATTAAAATAGTAAAGGTGTTTAGAGACTCAACTCTAGTCATTTATCAATTGAAAGGTGAATGAAAGATAAGGGATTCAAAACTCATCCCTTATCAAAAATACATTTTAGAGCTATACAAACAATTTAAAACAATTTGGTTTGAACACTTACCTTAAAAAGAAAATCAGATTGCAGATGCTTTGGCTACCTTAGTCGTCATGGTATAGATTAGTGATACCATTGAAATCCAACCTATCAAGTTAGATATTAAAGATATGCCAATATATTACACTAACTTGAAATAAGAGGAGGATGGTTACCCTTGGTATTATGATATCATGCAGTATTTAAAAAATCAACAGTATCTAAACCAAACAACAGAAAATAACAATAGAGTCTTACGAAGATTGGCCATGGGATTCTTTCTAGATGGGGAAACTTTGTACAAGAGAGGCAAAGACCAAGTGTTACTCCATTGTGTAAATATATCTAAAGCTAAAAGAATTGTTGAAGAGGTGCATAATGGTGTATATAAGGCACATACAAATGGGCATATAATGGCGAGACAGGTTATATGAGCTGGATATTATTGGTTGATAATGGAAAAAGATTGCATTGACTATGTTCGAAGGTGTCATAAGTGCCAGATTTATGCTGATAAGATTCATGCTCTGTCCAGTGCTTTGCATGTCATAGCACCACCTTGGCCATTTTTTTATGTGGGGCATAGAAAATGTTGGCCCTATCATACCAAAAGCTTCAAATGAGAATAGATTCATTTTTATGATGATTGACTACTTCACCAAATGGGTCGAGGCTATCTTTTTTTATGACAGTGACTAGATCAGTGGTCTATAAATTCATCAAAAGAGAAATAATTTACAAATATGGGCTTCCAAAAAAAATTATATCTAACAATGCAAAGAATCTGAATAGCAAGATGATGTAAGAAGTATATGCTCAATTTAAGATCAAACACCATAATTCAGCCCCATATCTCTAAAAAATGAATAGGGCAGTGGAAGCTCCAAACAAGAATATTAAAAGAATTCTAGAGAAAATGATTGAAATGTACAAAGACTGGCATGAAAATTTATCTTTTGCTTTACATGTGTATCAAACTTCTGTACACACCTCTACTAGGGCAACTCATTTTGCCTTGGTTTACATGATGAAAGCTGTGCTGCCAGTGGAAGTAAAAATCCCATTTCTAAGGGTTCTAAGAGAAGTGGGATTAGAAGAAGCTGAATGGATTCGAGAACGTTATGAGTAATTGAACTTTATCAAGGAAAGGAGGTTGACGACCTTGTGCCATGGCCAATTATACAAAAAGAGAATGATCAAAGCTCATGATAAAAAAGTCAAACCTTGACAATTTTAAGAGAGAGAGTTGGTGTTGAAAAGTATTCTGCCAAGTCATCATGATGATAGAGAAAAATGGACTTCGAATTGAGAGGGGCCTTATGTAGTAAAAAAAGCTTTTTTCGAAAAAGCCTTCATCTTGTCAGAGATGGATGGAGGTAAACTTCTTGGTCCCATGAACTCTTATATAGTAAAGAAGTATTTTCCTTGATCCAAAAAAAAAAGAAAAAAAAAAGAAAAAGGTTAAATTGAAAACCCGAAATGGTGTTTAAACCATAAAAAAAAAAGAGAAGTTCAAGTCAAAAACCCAAAATGGCGACTTGGAACCAAAACAAGGATCGAAAAGGTAACTGAAATGAGCATATTATGGATAGTAAATTCTAAAAAGCGTCGAAATGTTAAGGCATCAAGTTTTGATTGAGTTTTTGAAGAAGATCTAAAATTTATTGTCATGATTATCTAATCATTTATTTTAAGGTACTGCTACCCCAAAATAACCGCGCCCATACATTTTTCTTCCTTCACACCATTATTTGTAATTGATTATCCAAATAAATGAAAGCCATTTTATCATTCTCTAAATCTTAGACATTACTCTTTATGTCTTGCCATAAATGCATAATTTGCATCCTCATTAGGTTAATGATTAATAATTGAACAAAATCATGAGAAGTGTGAAGGGGATAAAGGTAAAAGATAAACCAAAAAAAAAAAAAAGGAATTTGACTTCCATGGCTTTCTTCAATAGTCAGGCAGACGAAAAGGTTCCTATGACAAAAAAAAACACCTTCAGGTTGATGAAAAGTGATTCCTTTGCATGGTTTCTTTGCCAAAAATGCACATTCAGGTTGATGAAAAATACTTTCTTTATCAAATGTGAAAGGAAATTTCTCTGCTATAGTGCACAGTGAAGGTGAACATGTAAGGTGATATCCGAGGGTTTCTCTACTAAAGGTGTACTGAAACAAGAATGCAAAAGCCTTAGTATCATAATTAATGATTCATTTGCATCTTAGATAGGCCATACATTTGCATTACCTCGATCATCTACTTTCGATCTTGACTCAATCTTAGTCACTTTATTTTGACTTGTGATTTTGTCCCAGTCCCTTGATCTTAGCTCAATCCAGATCATCTCTAATGATTCATGCTTTCATCTCGATCATTTATTCTCAACCTTGACTCGGTCTTAGTCACTTTATTTTAACTTGTAATTTTATCCCAGTTGCTCGATCTTGGCTTAGTCCAGATCATTCCTTATGATTTGTAATTCCATCTCAATCATCTATTCTCAACTTTGACTCGATCCTGGTTATTTTATTTTAACTTATGGTTTCGTCTCGATCACTCGATCTTAGCTCAATCCAGATCATTCCTTATGATTCGTGGTTCTGTATTGATCATCTATTCTTGACCTGAACTCGATCTTGGTCACTTTATTTTAACTTGTGGTTTTGTCCCAGTTGTTCCATCTTGGCTTAGTCTAGATCATTTCTTATGATGCGTGGTTTCATCCCGATCATCTGTTCTTGACCTTGACTCAGTCTTGGTCATTTTATTTGACTTGTGATTTTGTCCCGGTTACTCGATCTAGGCTCAATCCAGATCATTCCTTATGATTTGTGATTCTATCCCGATCATCTGCTTTCGACCTCAACATGATCCTAGCCGCTTGGTTTTGGCTCGTGGTTTACTCTCCACCGTCCAACCTTAGCTCAGTCTAGGTTATTTTTCAAACTTGTGATTAGAGTGGGTGTCTAGGTCTTTGCAACATCCTTGTCTAGCAAAGATGTGCAAAGAAAGGTAGCTGTAGACACTCATTTTTGTCTAGGCCCATTTTGGTCTGGGCCCATTTTGGCCTAAGCCTAACTGGGCCCGTCTTGATCCAGGCCCAATTAGGCCACTTTTTTATCAAACCGATTTTGGCCCATTTAGGTCCAATTAGATTTATTTATTTTTTTTTATTTTCTTTTTCTGTTCTATTATATTATACTATATCATATTATATTTATATTATTATTATATTATTTTCGTTTCTTTTTCCTTTCTTTTTGTTTCTTTCTTTTCTTTTATGTTCTGATTCACACGTGATAAAATTAGAACCAAAATTCAACTGAGTCAAACTTTCAATACCAAATCATATCAGCGAAGATTGCCAAAATTTTGGACCAAAAATCATGATTGGATAGAATGCAATCCCAGGATTCAAGCCTAGGATTGATTCTGTTCATTTCCTAAAATTACTCCCAAGGATGCTTATAAATTGGACTTTTTCTAACAAACAAGAACACACAAAGAAAGAGAAAACACAAGGGAAATTATTAAGGAAGCTCTGAGAAAATTTTAATAGTAAAAGTTTTTGGGATTCGATGATAGGGATTTTCAGGATCAATTCGTAGTTCTAGGCGTGATTTCAGGTTCCTGGAGGTGGATTTGAGGTTGTAAGAGGTTTAGGAAGGGCTAAGATCATCTAGGAATTTTTATAGATTTTATTTTTTTTTTTGGATTTTTTTGGGTTTTTCTGGGTTTCCTGAAAAACATTCAATTTTTTGGTAGAATTTTTCAATGAAAGTTTGAAGTTTTTGGTGAAATTTCTAGAATTTGACAGGTTTTCCAGAAACTGGTGGGTTATCTAGTTTTTGGTTGAATTTTTTGGTGAAATTTCCAAAAATCGATGGGATTTCTAGTTTTCGGTTGAACTTTTCGATAGGTTTCTAAAGAGAGGTCAGAGGATTTTAGGGGTAGAGAAAGAGGGGCTCTAAGGTTTCTAAGGAAAAATGCTGAAAGGCACCTTTTATACCACTCCAGAACGATGCCATTTCGCCTAGCCAGGATCCACACGTCGACCCAAAATTTCGCGCGCTGACCATTGTCTCGACCTGACTCGACCATAGGTTTTCATTTTTTATTTTCTTTTTATTTTCTTATTTTTATTTTTATTTATTTATTTATTTTTACCCATATTTTATTTCTTGATTTAAAAAAAAAAAGAGAAAAAGAAAGTAAAAAAATTATTCTGTTTTTTCTTAAGAAAAAAGAGATTTTTTCCAAAAAAAAATCTAAAAAAAAATTTAAAAAATAAAAACAAAAAAAGAAAAAAATATAAAATTTACTATTTGGTATATCATAAAAATGATCAAGGCTTGGATAATTTGAAATCAAAATTGGTACCATCCTTGGATAGGCGCTGTAGGGGTGCTACAACCTTCTCCAGGTGTAATCGACTTTCAAATCTAACCTCTGTTTTGCAGACCAGCTTCAATCAGGTGGCTAATCACACCTAACCAAAAAATATTAGTGGTGACTCTCTTTCATTTCAAATCTAACGATAGGTCCATAGATCTATATGTTATAACAGGACATAGGTACTTCACTCCTTCCTAAAGGTAGAGCTCGGGTGGAAGGCTTATGTTATGCACATGTAAATGAATGATAGATATAGTAAGCAAATATAAGTAATGAACAATAAGGCAGACAAATAAACAATTATGTAATAAATAATAAAGCAAATATAAGCAACGAAAAGGGATAATTTCAAATTTGTTAAACAAAGCTTGGATAATAAGAAATCTTTTACTAGCTTGACTCTCTAATATTCCTAACGGAATTGTTAAACTATCATAATGTATGGATCCGTGGACCTACCGTTAGACTTAGAATGAAAAAGAGTCACCACCAATCATTTTTTATTATGAGTAATTGGCCACCTAATTAAAACTAATCTACAAAACAGAGATTAAGTTTGAAAGTCAGTTGCGAATGGGGAAGGTTGTAGTGTCACGAGCTCTGACCTTAGACTCAGAATCCGTGCGGCCCTAGGCTTGGAATCTCCTCCTTTATGCCTAAGTCAGCCTAAAACACAACATACGGGCACTAGAACAATGGGAAGGGTTGATTACGCAAGTTAAAGAGAAACAGGATGAACAAGGTAGAACGCTAGAATATGTTGTATATTCACTGAAACAGAAGTGTTTGATGGTGTACAAATGAGGGTGGAGCAACCCTCTATTTATAGTTGAGGCTCCAGCTATACTTAATGGCAATATGCCTAGAATAAAGGCTAAAATCATGGGATTATACAGATTACAATCAATCAGGATGCTAACTCCTGATTTTCAGGATCAACCAAATCTACCAGGATGCTCCTGCTGATCCTGCCTTCTGCCAGAAGCTTCCCTTGCGTGTCCAACACCTTGGGCCCTTCTGGATGTAGTGC